TATGTATTATATAATTAATAATTAATAATTAAATATTTAATGTAATATTGTTGGTAAGTACTAGAAAATGAAAATGGAAAAGGAAAAATAACTTCTAATCGTTTTCTATTTCCTTTACAAAAACCATTTTCATTGTTTTTTTTTTCGTTTTCGTTTTCATTTTCAAAACATTTGCTAAATAAAACGCGATTTGTAGACCGTTTTCATTTCGTACCTCTTAAGACGTGCAGAAACGTTTTAAAAAATAACCAAAAAGCACGTTCTAAACGCACTCATCATTTTTGTTTCTAGCGGTTATCTTTTCTTGTCAAAATTTCTATTTTCCCAAAATAATATGATACTTTTCATTCATGAAATAACCAATTTATTTTTCCATTGACAAAATAAGTAGACATGTAGTTTACTTTCTTGTTTTCCCTCTCCCTGAAGTATCATTTACGATTGACAAAGAAAAAAGAACAAAAAAAAAAAAAAAGAAATGTCGTTTGCGGTGTTATAGTCCAAGGAAATCAAGAAATGTCACAACAAAACTTATGAATTGTTCCCAATGAGTTTGCAACTGACATCAAATCAACTAGTTAATGGATAATAATCAAGCTCGATCATGATCGTATCATTAACCAACTGAGGCCCTTCTACACAAGTGTACAAAAAACAATGCAAAACCAGCAGACTTCAACACAATAGATGAGGGGATTCCATATTTTCCCTTCCCAAACAACCCCCTCACAAAAGGCCAAAAGCACAACACCGTCCAAACACTTGACAAAAACTCCCCCAAACCAACCTCGTCATGTTGTCCAAACAAGCTCAACGTCAAGGCTGCCAAGTGCACAAACAGAAAGGTTGTGCCTGCTATGAACATGGGCGACTCGTCGAAAGTAAACCTACCGACATTTTTAGAAGTGCCATCCTTGTGATTACTGTGTTCATCACTAGAATTATCAGATTGGTCTTTTTGTGTGACTTCAAAAACAACGTCGGAAATCCCTACAAGCTTAAATAGGAAGCTGAAGACTCCGAATACCGTCGCAGTAGCTGAGGTTATCTTAGCCGTTCGCACGTTGTTCCACCACGCGCGAACTGAGAATCCGCATCGGAGAAAAAAGCACAACTGCTGCAAGTTTTGGAAGAGAAATCTAGCAACAAGAATTAGCATAGCCGGTTCATGAGCCTGCAGCCATGCAAATCCACACGTTTCAGATATGACTACTAGGTGTATGGTTTACTGTGAATGAAATTGAAGTAAAAAAAAAAAAAGTACCTAACCATGATGGGAAAACCGTTTACTACAAAGAGGAAATTCGTGCCCCCTTAACTTGCTATATTTTTGTGTAACTAGGTCATTAATATTCTTGATAAACCGGCGTTTATATATAGATGTAGGAAGATCTGTTTGGGAAGTAAGAAGCCCCTTTGACATCTCTTCATCTGCAAAGAATTCTCGATGTGAAAACACAGAGACAAAGGGCTGATCTTTGAATAGGAAAAAGAGTGGATCTGCAGGGTCCCAAATGAATTGGCTTATTCGAAAAAAGCCTTGTTCTTTGGAAGATCTATCTCGTGTCTGGTACTGCAGACACGAGATAGACAAAGGGAAGAAAATTAGGGTATAAATTTTATGAGGGGCTTAAGAAATGACAAATTTTTATGCTCTCACACAAAGGTGGAATGCATTTCTCTAGATTTTATAATATAAAAACTCAGCCGGCATTGGATATACATTTTTTTTTTTTTAATGAGAACATTAGATATATATACTTCTACATCTTAGCCAAAGTTATTGGAAAGGTTAAGGAATATATTAAGCAGAACTGCATGTGGTATATGGCTAGCACATATATAGTTCTAACTTCTATACATAGTAAAAAAACTAAGCCATAACATGAATTGTTTTAGCATCTTTTAGAACATTAAAAAAATATTATAACATTATGTTTTAAGCTAACAAAACCTCTTCAGATAAAAAAAAAACCTAGGAAAACCTCTGATCATTTTTAATTTTAAAGTACCTTCAAAAACATGAACACATGTTATACATGTGACACATAATAAGAAAATGAGAATTTCTAGCATAATATATGCCCTTTCTAATTACAAGTACGTATTATTATTTTAATCATTAGATTAAATTTTCAATAGCTTGATTTGTGATTGCATCAGACCGTTGAAACTTTAATCTAATAGTCAAAACCGCGTAGTAAAAAAAATATCAAGTAAAATTTTGACCAAAGAGATGTACCTTGGGTAAGAAATTTGCGTTGGTGATGATACAGTAGGCCGCTAAGAGACTGTAAAACATATCAAACATGGCGCCTAGGGGACTAGTGAGGACCCACGTGTACGCCAAGCTCTGCCTGAACTCAAGCTTAGCATTTAAGGTGGTCACAATTGGGCTATTCTTACTAAACATGGCTTGGAGCAGGCCCGTGGCCCACCTCTTCCTTTGGATCAAGCACGCAGGCCCACTTGTGGGTGCTGTCCCAAGGAAGCCCGGTGGGCTTGGCATGCACGAAACAGATCGCAAGCCCTCGCCATGGATCCTCATTCCAGTCAGGACATCTTCTGTTATCGACCCGTAACCCCACCCTACCTGAAATCGGCTTACCAATAAATATTCCAAAATTTTCCGTACAATTGCGAAAAAAAAAATTAAAGGCACTTTACAGGAACACTACCAGTTTTAGACTCAATTGACATATATGTTAGAAAACATAAACTTTTACAAAAAATATATAAAAATCATGAAATCTATATAAATGAAAAACTATAAAATTCTCATAAAATTTAAAGATACTGAATCAAATGCACAAAAATACAAACATAATTTTACTTAGTACATAAAACTTAAATGATGCTATTGTGATATATATTGTAATAGTTTTAATACACACAACAAAAGTCAATCCAACTTTAAAAATTATGACATATTGCAATAAATATCTCAAAAATTACATAATATGTTATCAAAATCTAATAATTTTAGATTTCCGTCATATTTATTATTTTTAAAAATATATTCTGGTAGAATATCAAAACATTGCTATCAGAATACACGCAAGGGATGTCCAGCTACAAAAATATGGTGTAAATTAATACAAAAAAAAAAAAAAAAAGAGTTCTCGAACCTTTGTTCCCCAAACCGTATCATGCTCATAGTCACAACGGGTGGCCTGGGAGGACAATTGAGCAGCAATTGAAATATCTTGTACTGGACTAATATCGTCCTTCAAAATTTGAGTCACAGAATTTATGAACTCTATGGAATTTCCGAATGATTCTTTCAGTAGTACTTTCTCATCATCCTCTTTTCCTAGAGAATGAAAAATGAAAGAGTAGAGAGGAAGATAGAATGAACAATCTAATATAATAATAATAATAATAATAATAATAATAATAATAATAATAATAATAATAATAATAATAATGAAGAATGGCATTAACATACATACACACACAGAGAAGCCACGTATAATGCTCCATTATATTCCTATTGTGGTGAAAATAAAATAAAATCTTGAGTACTTTCTCTTTTGGAGAGAAAAGAAAAGGAAAGAAACCTTGAAAATCTGCATTGTCTAAAGAGAAACCATAAATGAGTTTACGTCTGTGAAAGCAATTAGTTCCTGCATAAAGAGGTCCTTGAATCCCTGCCATTCCATGCCCAATAACCTGCATAATAAACACATGTACGCCCCGTTGGTTTTATTAGTTCGAATCACAACTCAAGTGCTTATTATAGTGTTTTTTCTAATAAAAAATTTAAATTTAACTTTTTTTATTATTGTGTTTTTTCCTAGATGAATTTACTTTTTTCTCTCAAATTCTCAACTCGAGTAAGTGAAACGAATGAGATGGTAAAAAACATGTCCAAAAGTAGTGAGAATATAAAGATTTTGAATTACGTTGGGAACTTGGTTTTTAACTTATGTGTAGGTTTTCAATTAGAGTAAAAATATACTCACTTCAAACGCAGCAACCATTTGGGTTCCAAATGGGTCATCTTTCAACTGATTGTAGATGACTTGAGGAAACTGGACAAATGCACATTCTTGAGGTTTGAGGCCTAGGAAAGAGCTCATCGCTTGATGAACTATTTTCGGATTGTTCACAAACATGTCACAGTCCACGTTCAACAAGAAAGGAGCATTTGTCATCACTCCGGAAACTCTGGTCTACAATTAATTAATTCCCTCTAGAAATCAGAACGAGTTAAGAAGAAAAAAAATATTGAGACACTAATGATGTTAACATGGCAACAAATAAAAAGTGAGTCTTATTGGAAAATTTTTATGTGGACTTTTATAATCATAATAATTCACTCTAATACGATTAAAGTACGTTATGAATAACTTTGTTAACGTGAATTTATTTATACATATATGTCAAATATTAATCCATAATGGGATGGACATTAGTTTTTGTTCACTAACTTGAGACATATGGGCTCCCTTTCTCATAAATGTTTTAATAAGCTTATTAGATCAAATAACCTATCCGCACAATTAAAATAAGCCCAATATAGCACAATTAATATGTGAGCTTAAGGGGAGCTTGTTTATATTGGTGTGTGGGGCTTAAATCTCTAATAGTGGCTAATGCTTGTAATAGTGTGATAGAGGGAGAGAAGGAGGAGAGTTCATTTGAACCCTTAGCTCTAGTGACGTTCTAACGGCCCACTAATGCTACCACGAAGTAACTCACTTGCAAATGCTTCAGTTCTCAATTGGTTAAATCTTTAGTTTCAATAATTGGTATCAGAGCCTCCAATTTAAGTTTTGAAACGGTGCATTTTAGATTTCTTCGAGGGAATTGAAACCCATTTTTCAAATCCCCAAAAATTGCTCTAATATTTTGTTTCCGAGCATGTATGTTATGAATATATATGGTGGGTGATTTTTCCTTGATAGAATCGTGTTGTTTTGATGGTGTTTCGGTTCAGATTTTCAAACTCTGTCCATGGCCGTCCTAAGATATAGAACTCGAATCAAGGTTGCTTATTGGCTTGATTTCAGTTATTTTTTGTCTTGTGGATTGTGAAAACGGACTATATACCATGAATTTTGTGTTTATTGTGCATTGGAATGGCTGAAAAACCATGTTTTTGAAGGTCTGAAATGGCCGAAATGAGATTTTATTATCACTAAAATTTTGATTATTTTTAGGCCATTTGATGTTATGAATCAAAAGAGGATGAAGTTCTGAGAAAAACTCATTTTGAATCATTGAAAATGGTGTAACAACCAAGAAGAAGAAATATGAATAAAAGACACAATAGAAAATTAATTTCTTTGTATTAGATAATTTTCTTCGATATCTCAATACACCTAATATTCTCTCTTATATAGGATGAGAGATTCATAAAATATTTGAATACATTGAACCTAATAAATACTAACACACCAATCAAATAGTTGGCTCCTAAATTAATGTCATAATCTCGTATTTCCACAATTTTGCAGTTACCTATATCCATCATAGATATTTTCCAATTCTGATTTATTTTTTAATATGTGATTATTGATATTCCAACCCGTACATTCCACCGCCCTTAGAACAGCCTTGTCCTCAAGGCTGGAAATCTGGAAAATCATCTTGTAATTGATAGAGATTTCATACTGCTTCCTTGGTTCAAAAAATTGGTCATTATATGATGATAGTGCCCAAAAATCAATTGTTGTAGAACTTTTAACATTTCCTGTCATGAGTTATTGTGTTACGGAGCTCTCCTACAAAATTTTAATTTTTTTTTTTGGAAAAAGGTTTTATGATACATAATACTCTTTACATGAATGCACGTGAGCTATTATAAAATATTTTTATTTAAATATTTATTTATTTTAATGATTTTCATATATTTTATAGGCAATTTTATTCTCACTATTTTGAGACATAAAATTTTGGGGCATCTTTATTATTTCATATTATATGGTCATATTTTATTTGTTCTCCCACATAATTTGATATTCCGATAAATAAAATTTAAACATATAATAATATGGTTTTTTGTTAAAATTTAGAAATGCTCATTTTGTATTTAATGTTTTAATGCCTAATTATTTGTATAGACATACATAGTTTCTTTTGTGTTAAAGTGAGAATGAAAATTTTCTTAAAAGCTTGAGCTATAAGTTTATCCATTCTTTATTTATTATTGTTGTCATTATTATTTGATATCTTGTTTTATGTGAGTATTATGTTTTTTTTATGCAGTTAAATTAGGAGAAAATTAGAAATATTTGTTTATTGACTAGCATAATCACTAAACTCACATACTATTATCAAACAATAAATGAAAATAGTAGGAAATAGGTCAATATGAAAAGCTTAAGAAAGTATATAGGCCAGCTTTTAGTTATAAAAATTAATAGGCCATAACTTGTCAAGTTATAGTTCATAACCAGATAAGTTATGGACAAACTTGTTAAGTTGTGGTTCATAGCCAGACAAGTTATGGACAAAAACCGAGAATAACTTGTCAAGTTATGGTTCATAACCAGACAAGTTATGGACGAAAACAGTAATTTAGCCTATTTATTAACTTATGTAAATTATTGGTCTATTAATTTTAATTCATTTCAAGTCTTGACCTATTTCCCTCTTTCTCCCAACAATAAATTGTGAGAATATATGGATAAACTTAATTTGTTGATTATGTTGCGAAAGTTCATACGGGTAATAAAATTATCTTGCCGATAATTTTTTTACTTGGTAGGACGGTTGAATCTTGTTGAAGCTTAAGCTTGTTATCTATATTCATGTTTTTTGTTATTCGATTATTATTTGACATTTTGTATTATATGAGCACTGTTGTTACTGATTATGCAGTCCAAGTGGGAGAATATTAAATATTACATATGGACTTTTATAATCACTAAACTCATATTATAGTCAAATAATATATTGGAGTGTTAAGGATAAATGTATGTATTTACCATATTGCTAAGATCCATACGGACAATTAAATTATCTTGTCGATAATTAATTGTTAGGTAGGATGCTTAGACTGGTGAAGGAAGTTTGTTGAATGTCATGAACCGCATAATCTTTACTACCCTGTCGGGGGTGGATTGATGCATTTGGTTGTGATGTTTGATGAATTATCCTTACATGCGAAAGAGTTATATTCTTGCTCAGTGAGCTCTAGCACATAATGATCATATAGTTTAAGATAATTGAAAATGCTAAGTAAAGGGCAAATCGCATAATCTTGTTTTTACATGCTTCTTGTTGGTTGCCCCATATTATTTTTTTAGCCTTGAGCAATTCTTATATCTCTGCTATTTTGACGCTAAATGGGACAAGTCATTATATATGGTATGAATCTCTCATGATAATTTGTTAATGTTGAAATGGACATAGTCTTGAGAGTGGATATGTTTTCTAGCTCCACTAATATGTTGAGAAACTCTATGACGAGTGAGAGTGTATGGAAATATTGAGGCGGTAGTACCTAATTTTGGATGAGACAGTCACTGAAATTAGCTTTATGGAAAATGTTGTTAATAAATGCATGTGTGGAAGATCAGTGGGAGCAGTTACATATTTCTATTTTTTATGTTGGTGACAATTTGCTCATGCTTAATGATTCTGACTTGTTGGTTGAAACGATAAGTATGTTGCCTGGCCACTTTAGTATGTGAATCTTGAAAAGGCCTCTTATGTTCTAAGCATGCAGATTCTCCTTAACAAGATTAAGATTAAGTGGACGTTTGGTTCATGGATTCAGATTCATGATTCAGAACTATTCTCGTTTTACGTGTGTTTTTTATGAGAGAAAAATACTATAGAAAACCATAAATCATGATTCAGAATCATGGACGAATACAGGAAACAAACATTCTATAAGCGATTCTGTTTTTTATGTTGGTGACAACTGGCTCGCGCTTAATGATTCTAACTTGTTGGTTGAGAAGATATAAATATGTTGTCTAGCTACTTTGGTATGAGAATCTTGAAAAAACCTCTTATATTCAAAGCATGCAGATTCTTCGTAAAAAGATTAAGTGCATTTTTTAGTTGTCTCATAGAACTTATATTCCTCATATTTTTTGAATAGATTTAGTATGTATTCTTATTCTTCCGAATAAGCAATGTTTGTTAAGGTGACAAACTCTCGATGGTATAATATCCTTATGTTAACCCACTTATACATGCTTCAATTCTTAATTAGTTCAATGTTTAGTTTCTAACAAGTCTCATTTATGAATTCTGTTCTATGGGATCTACTTATTTTTAGTATTAATGCCGGTACTCTATAGCATCGTTCTTAAAAGAAAATATTGCAACTTTAAACACGTAATTGGCTAAGAAGTGGTCTCACCAGAACGTTCATTGCACCGGCCTTGTAGTGATGTGGACAATTTGGACTCTTCTCTCTGCAAACATAAATTAGATGAGGCACTCCTTCTGGAACTCTTTCCTTGTTCTCCCATATGACCTTTTGGGGAAAAAAAATTCAAATTGAATGCTTCTGTTTCTTTTCAGAGATTGTCGAGAAATATCAGCCATACAAATATTCTTTCAAAATAGGAAGATTTGTACACACCGATCAGTATATAATCAACTTTTTTTTTCCAGCGGTAAAAGAGAATAAATTAATGTACGAATGGTTCTATATGCACTCTCTTTTTTACATTTCACACATTCTTTTAAAAACACATTTTATATAATTTTAAAGGAACTAAATTTATTTTTTACACACCCTTATTATTCTAAAATTTCTTTTAATTATTTTTATGAAATAATTAATTTTTGTCCACTTCAAATTTCTTTTCACATCCACCATTATAGTTTAGTTTGTTATTTAAGTACTACTTCTCTATCTCTTCATATCTTTTTTATTTTTATTTTTTTTGTTGATGTTTTGGGTGTGAATCCTTTTTTCAAACAAAAAGAAAAAAAATAAATAGAAGATAAAACGAGAAAAAAATCAATCCAACTTTATTAAAGCAAAGCGAAATAAAAAACAAAACCAAATGATTAGTCTTTACAAAAAAAAAAAAATCAGTGAAAAATATAAACATGAAATGAAAAAGACAAAATAAAAATCATCATACAACTAATAGCAAACAAAATTTAACATTATATCAATGTAATTTTTTAGAATACTTATTGAAAAGTGAAAATTAGAATTTTTTAATTTTAAAATAATAATAGTTTATAATTTAGAATATAACATGTGGGATGTGTGAAGAGAGATAAAAACTATAAAATTAGTTTCTTTTTTTAATTAAATTCAATTACACAATTAAATATGCTATAATTGTCATTTCTTGTCATTCAATGTGAGGATCTTTTTGTCATAAGAAAATTTAAGGTAGAGAGAGATATGGAGAGTAAAAAAAAATGTGTGAATAAAACTACCCTTAATATACTCATGTGGTAAGAAAGAATAAATTAATGCACTCACGTTGAAAATTATTATTATATTATTATTAATTGTTATTCTTATTATTATTCATGTTGTTGTTGTTGTTGTTATTATTATTATTGACAAAGATAGATTTCATTCTTTAATTTTTATATTTTATATATTTTTTAACAGTTTTGCATTAATTCACTATTGTGTGAGGGTTGTCGTCAATTTTTATTTAATTGACGACAGGGAAATGGTATTATGGGTCGTTTTCAAATGGTTATTTGTCAACAATCTAGTCTAGATAGAGGATCCACACTTAGATACTATGACATGGATGGTGTATAGTACTTTATGGTAAAATGCTTACATCGTTGTGAAATGCTATTGTGAAATGCTTACATCGTTTTCAAATGGTTATTTGTTGTGAAATGCTTACATCGTTCATTGATCCTCAGTCTAATGTAAGGTCAGCAATTATTAAGGATAGAAAGTAGACAATTTTTAACTTACGATATCAATTCCAAATTAAAAATTCCAACAATGCGATTGTTGCATCTTAGTCATATAAACTACCATTGATATAAAATGGTGACATGATGGTTCTTTGTTTTTTAGGAGTGGGGTCTAGAAGATATGGTAAGGCAATAATATTTCCTAAAATTTCTTCTTTTATGAATAATGCTAAAAACACAATTCTAATTTTAATTTTTGTGTACTAATTGATGTGTCGTGTGAGTTATCATTTTTATATTAATGCGTGTTTAAAAAAATTATCATGTCAACTGATAAAAGATTAAATCTACTAATAAAAAGATGATAACTCGCATGCCACATTAATTGATATATAAGAGTTAAGATTTGAGTAAGTGTTTATAACATTAAATCCAATGTTTTTGGTTATACTAAAAGAAACAAAACAAAATAAATAATAATTTAAAAAGCTGCTAAACCTTGATTATATTGGGGTGGTCACTTTTATTTGTATTTGCGAAAGCAGCATACTCTCCAGAACATACAATCTTGAGTGTTCCCTTGGTTGCTTCTTCAATTTTTTGTCTTAGCTTTTCATACTCTTCCTGTAAAGTGAAAAAATGATCCATTGTTGACAACGATGATACAACAACAAACAGTTTAATTAGAGCATCCACAATACAATATCGAATTGATGAGCTAATGTTAAAACTTACATTTAAGTGAAAAAAGTCGCACTTCAATACAATGTTGTTTAATTTTTATGCTGAACTTGTAACATACCATACTTCCTAGTAAATTTCTCACAAATTAGTATTGCAAATGTCATATTTTTTAATGACAAATATAGTAATGACATTAGTATTTGCATTAAAGATGATCTTACTTCACTTTTAATTCCAATACAATATTTTGTCGTTTTTGCATTTGTATATGGAACCTAACACCAAACTATATAACAAGTATGCTCATGACTATTCAATGCTTATTTGCCACGGAAAAAAAAAAAAAAAAAAACCATGCTAATGACTATTTGGTATAACTAGGTAGTAAAAGTCTATTCATTCATGCATTTTATATCGTCACAAATGACAAACTCACAAATCAAATAGTATACATTTAAATATTCTCGTTTACAATACAACACAAATAGATGGATATATATATATATATATATATATATATAAAGGAAGAAAAAGTGGAATAAAACAGCAATATTATCTATTACCTTCATCCGTCTCCATTCAGGATGGAATTCGGGTGACTTCTTATCATCATCACTAGGCGGAAAAGAATCATCCCTGGAGAAGTATCTAAAAGGTGCTCTGACTTGAACATCGTACTTCTTACAAAAAGGAACCCAAAGGCGAGCAAATTTGAAGGCTTCAATGAGAGAGTAGAGGATGATTGGAGAGCATCCATCGTCCGACACGTAGCAAGCCAGCTTATGAGCCGGATAATCGACGGCCATAAGCGACAGCACGGTGTTTACCGTCACGATTGGAGACTCAAGCACCACATCCGCCGTCGTCACGAACAGGTCCACAGCTGGAAGCTCCGCGGCATCCCTGTCCGACATATATATATTTGATTATTATTATTATTTTTTAAAAAATTACCGTTAGCTACACCTCTAATCACAATATTAATTATATTACTATCATAAAAAAAATGCAGTGCGTGCGTTTGTGAAAGTATATGTATGCAAATTTAGTAGTTTCAAAAAACATTGAGTACGAAAAACTTTTTCTAATGTATCTGTATACGTATGTAGAGACCTTTGCAAGAGGATTTCTGGGTATGTTTTGAACTCGGCAGGCGTCCAGAAGGTGGTGAGAGAGAGAGAGAATTCGAGGGCGAACCAGAACTCGCATACGAAGGCGAGGACCCAGGTGAAGCCATGGTTTTTGTTGAAGGAAAGGAGGCGATAAACGAGGATAGAGATAAGCAAGAGTAAGATTGTGAGATCAATGGCTCTGTTTAGTTTGTTAACTTTAATGGGGATTTTCTGACAAAGAGGAGAAGAAACTGTGTTGGCCATCTTGAGAGCAATGCAAGGGAAGATGTCAAATGAGTGGTGTATACACTGTGGAGCGTTATATATACGTAAACTCCTCTAGCCAGGTATTGATACTTTTATACGTACACGTAGAAGTTAGAACTCCTTTTCTTTGAATTTTCTTCCTTTTTATTTTTCGTAGAAACTCACCGATTGATCGATGTGTGTAGATGGATTTGGACCGCGAAAACCATGGACGCATGAGGCAAATTTTGGACTATATGTGGAATTTTGTTCCGAACAAAATTCTCTTTCGTTCTGATAATAATTGATTACTGTTTCTTTTTTTTTTTTTTTTCAACTTATATGTTTAAGAACACATAATTAGTGGTAAAGCAAACGCCGGGACCAATATATGTCTTCATACACGCACAGTGGTGAAACTTTGGGCCGGCGGGCTGCCCGAAGCCCGAATTTTTTCAGGCTCGGGCGGGCAGGCCCATATGCCGGCCCGTTCAAGGTGAAAATTTGAGCTCGGGCAACCCGAATTTTGAAACCACGCCGGAGCCTGCCCCCATGTAGGTGCCGTCGACCGCCGGAGTTTTTTTTGAATTTTTCCGGCCATGTCCGAAGCCCGAACTGCCCGAAAAAACGTTCAAAAATCCGACTGTTGTGCCCGACCCGAAAATAAGCCCGAAAACCCGAAACCCGCCAATGAAAATATTAGTTGCTACAAATTGGGGCATTCTGAGAATTGAACTCGGGACCTCTCACACCCAAAGTGAGAATCATACCACTAGATCAAATGTCCATATTTGTTATTTAAATTTTTAACTTATTAATTAAGGTAAACACACAATTCTTTAATATAAAGAGTAAATTCCTATTTTAGCAGTTTAATATTTCAGTTTTCACATTCTTGACCATATTTTATAATCAATCACATGATAAAAGGATTCCTCAAAAAATAATATACACAAGGAAAGAAATACATTGCCATCACGTTTTTATTATTTTTTATTTTTAAAAAGTGTTGTTTCTATATAATGCCGGTTTTGTTCTTATAGATACTCGTATTTTTCTACTCTATATCACTCTTCTTTCTATCTTTATCTATTTTTCTGTTCACAATCTCTCTTCATCCTCTTAATTATCCTCTTTTTTCTTCCACTTTCTTCACTCTCTTTGTGACTCTATATCAAAGTAACTTTCTACTTGCATACCAAAGTAAATTAATAATTGATCAAAAGTCACTCAATGATTGGTTTAATAACTTCATCGCTATTTGATGATCTCTATTTTAAAAGACCAGTCACTCAATGTTGAAGCCTTGGTTTGCATTAAGGATTGGGATCGGGCCGATCAACGTCTACGAGATACAATTTCACCGGCAAGCCAAGAATGGATCAATGAATTTAATCGATTAACATTTAATTTTGAAGACGATCCTTCAGCTTCAAATTAAACTGTAAATTTGTAATTTGTAAATATGTATTTACCTTTGACATTGTATTTGTAATTGTATAACTTTGTAAGTTTGTAAAATTTATAATTCATCACAAAATGATTGCACTCTTTTTTTCTTGCCAAGTTTTTATCCCAATTGGGTTTTTCTTAGTAAGATTTTTAACGAGCTAATCATGAATTATAAATTTAAAAATTAATAAAGAAATAATTTTTTATATAGTTTGTGTGTTCATTTCAAATTTTAAATTGTAATATATATATATATATATATAAATTTTAACACAAAATAACTTAATATTAAAAAAAAATTTTAAAAATATTCGAGCTACTCGGGCGGCCTAATATAAGCCCGCGGCCCGTTCAAGGTGAAATTCGGGCTCGGGCGGACAGCCCAAATTTTTCGGGCGGGTCTGGTTCGGGCTCGGGCAAAAACTCAAGTTTTTTGGGCGGTCGCGGGCCCGTTCAAAATTTCAGCACTACGCATGCACGTATGTAGAGATTGGATGATAGGACGAAAAGTGAGACAAGCTAATATTTTGAGGATTGTTGATATTGTTTTAAACATAATGCTCCTCGAAATTTACTTTTAATTAAGAATTCTGATTCTACGTAAAACTACATAAAAGATTGTCGCCTCAACGGTAGAAGTACGAAAGTTACAGTTTATGATAAGTTTAAGGGGAGTTATGTTCCATTTTTATTCGCAGGGAGTAAAATATATGACATTACTTTTTTGAGACCAAATTTGAAATTAATTGATTTTTTATTATATATACTTTACAAATTCGGCGATAATAAACCAAAACACATACACTCAATTTAACGTGGGCTAGCTCTCTTAAATTTATTACGACCTACACTGATTAATGTCTAAATGAACAAATTATATTACCAATAAGCTTAATTCAAAAAATTAGACACTAAAAACACATCTCTTCAATAAACTCATCTCTTTTGTATTTAAGTAACCATTTTATTTCCACAATTATTGCTGTCCACACAACTATATATGCACGCAAACAAATGACATATTTTACCTTCCACACCAGATCCATTGTGGGCCTTCTGCATATGACCAGAGTAGAAAAAGCAAAACCGAAGCCGTAAACCTCTCTCTCTCTCTCTCTCTCTCTCTCTCTCTCTCTCTCTCTCTTTTTTTTTTTTTTTGTGGATGAAAAGCCAAAGCCGTAGACTTAAAAAGGGCGCATAAATCTTTAAAAAAAAAAAAAAAAAGGGCGCATAAATATTTTGTCAACCAGCGCTATGAGAATTGGCCACAATCACACACCAACCACACAGTGCTGCAAGAAACCTCCAAATGCGCCTGATCATGGCCACACCTGTACGAGCTTGTGTTGTGTTTTCATCCCCAAAAGGACCATGGCAGCGAAGAAATGCAATCTCGAGGAAGTAACAGAAAATGATTATAAAGAAAAAAGTAGAATTACAATTGACAACACTCGTAATTTCTTAGCTTAATATCCTCCCGCAAGTTGACAGGCCTTGGAAGAACGGTCAACTTTGGTTCGACACTGCAGAAATCTCTGAGTTGGCAAAGGCTTAGTTAAGACTTCATACATCTGCGGTTTGATCATCTGAGGACAAATACTTGCCATTATTGATCAGGACTATGTTGCATTATCCTTACGAACAAAATGATGACCAATCTCGAGATGTTTTGGTAATTATGTTAGTAGAGCTAAATATAATTTTTAGAAGTAATTAAACGTGGATTTTTTTTGGAGGATAGTAATTATAGCATAAATACGTTATAATGGTCCTTCATTAGACTCGTTATAAGAGCAAGAGCTTAATATGTAGTCCAGGCACTTATTCAAATGTGGCTTACAACTTCTAAAAACCTCATCTCTAGTAATAAATGAAGACTTAATTTATTTTTGGAGTAAAAACCACTCACGAATTCACGAATTACATAATGCATGGAAATCACAAATATTATGCGGGAGATTACGCCTGACGTACCGGTATAGATCAGGTTTTTCTAACCGTTGAAACTGCGTACAGATCCAATAGACATGTAATTTTGCCCCATCAATATGTTAGCATACCGGAGCAGGTCTCATATTATGTAGTTCCATCGACAAACATTTTCATCAACTCATTGTGGTCCTTCTGCACCAGACAACAAAAAGCAAAGCCAAAGCGGTAGACTTACAAAGGGTGGATAAGGGAATGCCGTATTTCCCTTTACCAAACAACCCTTTCAGAACAGGCCACAAGCATAACACCAACCACGCACTGCAAAGAACGTCCAAAATGCCTGAGCCATGCCCACCACGAGCTCGCGGTTGCATACCAAAAACGACCATAGCCAGCGCCATCAATTGGACCAACAAAAGGGTAGTAACCGGCACGAAAATCGGGGACTCGTCGAAGGTGAATCTACCAGCATCGCCGTCCGTGTCATTGGAACTACTACTTGAAGTAGATTGGTCTTTCTTGGTGACTTCAAATACTGTCTCTGAAATTCCCAGAATCTTTAGTGCCACGCTAACTACTCCAAGAACCCAAGCACTCATTGAAGTTACTATTCTCATTTTCTGATTATTCCACCATGCTCGGATGGACTGACCGGTGGCAAAATACTCTGACAGTGTGTAGAGGTTGTAGATGACAAAGAGCGCAATTGGTATGTAGAAGGCCGGTTCTTGGCTCTACATTCATAATAAATTCGAGAAAAGAGAATTACATGATATGTTAACAATTTGTAGCAACGTACATATTTATTTTTCAGTTAGTTAGTGTTAGAGACACCAACTCTATTTCTAACTTTCTTTTTTCATCAATTTATATAATTTTGAGTTGTTATCTCTTCACTAGTAGATATAATATATGATTATTTAATGATGTGCCAATCTTTTAAAAATCCACTAATAGAAAAATGATCATATAACTCACATATTACGTCATTTGATATAACAAATATTGAAATTAGAGTACGTCTGTATAGCGCTATATATGTTTTTATAGATGTTAGTGTTATACTAAAGAAAAGTGATAAACGTAAAATGAATTGTACGTGCTCACCTTAGGCAAGAAAGGCAAGAAAGGGGAATTAGTGATGATAGAATACGCAAGTAGAGCAGCATAACACAACTCAGGAATAGAGCGTAATCCCCAACAGAGGATCCACAAATAGGCCAAGCCCTGCCTGAGCTGAAGCTTGCCAAATAGGGTGAAAAATATGGGACAATTTTTGCTGACTAGGATTTCTAGAAGGCCTGTGGCCCACCTTTTCTGTTGGGTCATGGCAGTGGGTCCACTTGTGGGAGCGCATCCTAGAAAGGCCGGCGGATCCGGCCAACTAAGGACAGTTCTCCAGCCCTTCCTATGGATAATTAGACTAGTGTTGATATCTTCCGTTGTTGATCCATATATCCAGCCAACCTGGTTCGAGCCACACAGCCCATAAAAAGAGTTAGTACTACTAGGGTTATTAATAATACTTGGGGAACTTTTACGGTGAAGAACTATTTTGCTACATCAATCGATAAAAGTTGTTGTTTTTAGGGATGTGGATTAATTTTTTAACGGTCAGTTAGGTGTACGTCCACATTAAAAATTTTCACTACACGATACAAACCTATTTCTACTACAAATCAGACTGTTGAAAAATTAATTTAAGGGTTAAACACAATTCCTATCAATATAATAAAATAGCCTTCTCCACCATAAATGCATCCAATTAATAATTAATAGAGAAAATCAGTAAATGGTCCTTTTTTATCACTTTCTTTAATAAATGGCCGAATTTTTTATTTTTTAAATATATGGCCGCACTTTTTTTATTTTAACAAAATGGTTTTTTTCAGCAGTCAATTAATGATTGACTACAATTAATCAGTAATTGATCTATCCATTATTATAATTTATAATGATTTATATCATTAATAAATATGTAATTTGTTGATTAAAATTGATTTTGAGTAATTATTAACTAATACTGATTAATAATAAAAATCATTGTATTAATCAGTGATAAACTTAAGTCAATCAGTGATTGACCGCTAATCAATTGACTATTAAGTTAATAAAAATGACCATTTTACTAATTTTACAAAACTAAGGGCTATTTGCCTCTATATTCCTAATTAGTATGATTTTTTTTAAAGAACAATAATGATATGGTATATACATTTTTCAAATTTTTAACTCTTTTGCACGTTGTGTCGTAACATTATTTATATCATCCAACATTTTTCTTGGGATGACATGATTATTTGGCACTAACCTTCTTACCCCAATCAGTACCACTCTCGTACCCACAAGCTGCTACTTGGTTAGCAGCCTCTAAAGAATTCTCAAGACTCTTGGCAAATTCTGTCTTTTCTCCTTTAAAAGCGTCGGCAACTGCCGTAACAAAATCCTTTGAGCTTCCAAAACTAATTTGGAGTAACTTGTGATCCTTAGCTAACTTTCCTGGCCAAGAAAATACAATAGGGAAAGTATTAATTATTAGGTCCTCACATGAAAGAATATTAAATTGAGAAGTACCATTACAATGCAAAAAATATTAGCGTTACCTTTTCTATTACTCCTTTTGTCACATTCTGCATTTATTATTTGATAATAAACTCCACTATCTTATTTTTTGTTTAAATAATATATATTATACTAAGAGAGTTTATGTATCAAATAACGAATATAAAAAGAGATAAAGATAATGATAGAAAGATTGTCCCGAGGATTTATTTTTGAATGCAAGTAAAAGTTGTTTACCATTAGTATTGTTTTCTATATCATCCGGCGACAAGCCGTATATGACTTTTCGTCTGTGGAAACATCCTGTTCCTGAGTAAAATGGCCCTTGAATTCCTGCCACCCCCTTCGCCAAATACTGTCGACATGATAATTTTATGCTTTAAAATTGATATTAATTTAATCAATTGAAATTAGAATTTGATGATCTTTCTAATGAAATCATAAATAAATATTTTCTGTCCATTGATTAGCAATTAATTCATTACTTGCAAATTCAAATACCTATTTTCGAAATTCTTTAGAGCTTTCATCAAGTACCTTTCAATTTTTTTTTTTCAAGTCAAAAATTATCAGGTCACATAGTTTTTCAAAAAATGGGAGATGTGATTATTTCGACTTTAATTTTTTTAACTCCAAACGTCACGAAGTTGAAATCGACTAGTTTATATATGTACGCAATTTAAATATTGATGCACCTCAAACAAAACGACCAATTGATTTCCAAAAGGGTCATCCTTGAGCCCATCATAGAAGACCTGAGGACACTGACAAAATGCGACTTCCTTTTCATTCTTAGGACCAAGCAACAAGCACATTGCGTGAAGAACTGTCTTTGGATTGTTGACAAACATGTCACAGTCTACGTTCAACATGAATGGGGCATTTGTCATCAATCCTGAAACCCTGGCCTACAAAAGATACAAATATTCAAGAGTACTATCATTTGTTGTTCAAAATATTAAAAGTTTGATGTCGATGGTCTTTAATTTGATGGGGAATCATCCGATTTATTTTACCGATTCGAGTTTTATTTTAGTAAAAAATTTTCAGAAACAGTCACATTTAACTTTTTTGCTACAGTAAAAAGCTCTTACATTAAGTTACACGTCAACTCGAATTAAAAACTCGAATAAACGAACTAAACAGGTCCTAAGGTGATAACGTTGATAAAATCGCATTAAATTAAAAAAGTTTTTAAAACAGATCATTTTTTATCGTAAGATATGGTTAAAATCACATTAAACTAAAAAGGTTTTTATAACAGACTATTTTTTATATAAATCTAACAATTAAAAATAAAAAATTACTGATAGTTTATTTTTTCTAATCTTACTATGTACAAAAATTCTCTAAAAAATTATTCTATGTTCACTACAGTTACTTTTAATCAAGTATACTGAAAATTAATATTAGGAAAACAGACAATTCTTACCAAAACATTCATGGCACCGGCTTTGTAATGATGTGGATGCGTTGGACGCTTTTCTCTGGATATATAAACTAAATGTGGCATTTCATCTGCAATACCTCGTTTGTTCTCCCATATAACCTTTAAATTCAAAACAATTCGAATTAGACAAATCTCTTCAACAAATATTTTGAAGCCTTTTGCCCCCTCTTTGTTCTGGTTTTTGGTACGAACAATGACACCACACACTATAAAAAATGGATCCCACAATATAGGACTTATTTTTTATTAGTCGTGGTGCGTAATAGTTGGCACCGTGGTGTCTCAAACATTTTTCTATATATTAGAATAATAATTAAGAAAATGTCAAAATATATATATTTTTTCCTTGAGGGGGTAAATTAAAAAGATAACTACAGGATTAAATTATCATCCAAATTAATCAAAATCACACTGTATGACAACATAGAATTGGATTAAGATTCGGTAGTGATAATACAACTAACACTAATTAATTTCTTACTTTTGTGATATTGATATATTTGCCAGAATTGGCGACACAAAAACATGCACCAATAATATTTCTCATAGTTTTGTACACGCAGTTTACCTGTGCGCACACGTGTGCACGCACGAACTCGAGCGTACTAATATATAAATTATAAATGCTCATTATTTTTGTGGAAAAGAAAGTAAACAAAAAGGCCATGTAGTTGCTGAAACTTTATGAACTTACAACAATATAATAAGTTATGTACGATGGCGATATAGCCCATCTAAAAGGGCACATTAGTTATTCTTGTACTACTATAGCTTTCTGATAAGCTCTTGAGACATTGTGTATTTTTTTTTCTTTCCCAATAGAAACTCTTGCACTATAGCTTTTTGTATATATGATAGAGCGTTTTAGGTGGTATTTTTGTAAACAATTAAGCATCATGTACATACATAGGTCCCGTTTAACATAGTTTTTGAAATTATGCTTTTAGTCGGGAGAAGAAAAGAAACATAAAATTGTGACTTCTCAATAGGTGTTCAAAACCACATTTAAATTGAAGTTTATAGGTCATTCAAACACTTCTAGAAATAGTTTTTGTACTCTAAAAAGTCAAAAACACTTCCAAAAAGCTCTACTAGACACACACTAAAAAGAAGGAAAGAAATTCTGAGTGGTAATGTGATTAATTAATGACGTATAATCCGAGCTTTCTTAATTACGCATAGTAAAAGAAATGGAAAGAATACTATAATTATTAATATTGTCATTATATTATTATTGTTATTACCATCATCATCATCACCACTTTTATCCACATTAGAGAAAATTATTAAACTTTTCTTAAAGTGTATAGGTTTAAAGTTTTACTCATTACTTTTAATTGATACATTTTTTTACTAATGTAATTATTTGACTAAAAAATATATTAAACAAAATTAAAAGCAAAAATCAAAACTCGTGTTGTCTAGCCCTTATCATTATTATTACAATTGTTGAGAAAAGTTGAACTACAAATGCATACCTTGATTATGGTTGGATGATTTATCCTTTCTATGTTTAAGAAAACTTCAAAGTCCTTGACAAGATCGCATGGAAGTGATGCTTTTTCGACAACTGCTCCAATAATTTTACGGCTAAGTTGTTCGTACTCATCCTTTAACACATATGAAGACAAAAAGCACTTTATTTTAAGAATAATGTATTAGTACCATACCACTACAATCATCATTTGAACTCTTTGAAAGTAAAAATTACTTGTACAATAGAACAAAAAGCAAGAAAAAAAAAAGATTGCTCATAAAATTAACCTAAATGAAAGAGTTGGATATGTCCGAAACTCATATGAATATTACATACCTTCATAGCTTTCCACTCCCGTTGAAATTCCCTTGAATACTCATGACCTAAAGGCAAAGACTCACTGCTGAAATATCTGAAAGGTGCTCTAAGTTTAACATTGTGCTTCTTACAAAATGGAACCCAAAGCTTCGCAAAATTTGATGCTTCCATGAGAGAGTAGAGGATGATCGGAGAACATCCGTCGTCGGACACGTAGCAAGCCAGCTTGGAAGCTGGATAATCCACTGCTAACAATGATAAAACCGTGTTTATAGTGATTATCGGTGGTTCTAGTTCTGGATCCGCCGTTGTCACAAACATGTCCACTGAAGGAAGCTCATCAACCCTATTAATATTCACCATGTCCATATTAACTTCTGTAAGTTGTTATAAATTTCGCATGTTTGAACCATAGTTTAAATATTTTGTTACATTATTTTTTCTCATAAAAAAATTTAAATTTATATTCAAATTTTTATACAAATTTATAGACCAAACGGGCGCGTTACATATGTATATTTAACACACATATTATAACAAAGGAAAGTAAAATATGGATTGATTATATATTTACCATTGCAAGAGGCGATCAGGGTGGGTTTTGTATTCTACAGGGTTCCATTTGGTGCTGATCAAGATGACCCAATAGAAAGTAAACCAAAGCTCGCATAGGAAGGCAAGGAGCCAGTAAGAGGAATCAACCGTATGGTCACGTAGAAAGATGATGCGATAAACGGGGAGAGGGAGGAGAAGAAAGAAGATTATGATTTCGAAAAAGTTCTTCACGACATTTTTTCGAGAAATTCTTTCGTATAGAGGAAGAGTACTACTACAGGTTTTGATATCCATTTTGGTAGAATATTATAGCAGCTGTTTGTTTCCTTTCTTCTTTCTTTTTTCTTTAAATTTGATGATGATATATATAAAGAAAGGTTGTGTAGCTAATGATTGCATAGAAAAGTGTAGATTGATATATATAGATCAAAGGCTCCGTGACTATAGTTTTTTATTTATTTATTTATTTTTTTTTTGGGTGCGTGTGTGTCTTGCTAGCTGTCTATCTGCTTTTGCATGGTTAATGGTCAATGGTTTTTATTTTTTTTTTATTATTTTTTTAATGTGGCGCAGGATTCTCCATGATTGATATCATAAACGACAAAATCCAATGAAAGGGTATATATTTTTACTCCCGCAGCCATATGCCAGTGTTGAAATTTAATCCTTGGATACAAATTTCTTCTTAATTATGGCATTGTTATATATATTGTTAAAATATAAAAATTATTGTTTGTCCACTGATAATTTTATAAAATAAACTTATTTTCTTTTATTTATATTTAAATTTACTTTGTTTTTAAAAAATTTATTTTTAATTTAGTTTTCTGTTGTTTTATTTTAGTTAATTTTATTTAGTTTTTTTTCTAATAATTTTATTAATCTTTAATTGTGTTTAAATTAAGTGAAAAGTACAATTTAAAGCTGAATTGACATTAAAAATACTTCAAAAATAAAAAATAAATCCGGATTCAGCTTTCTTCCGCGCGCTCCTGCCACTCATGCTCTTCACTGGCCGTCCGATTGTCTTCAGTTGCCGTGTGTCCACCTTCGCATTAGAGTCCTAATGCCCCCTCCTTCTTCTCATCTGACATGTGAATTTGGAGGCTATTAATAGCCCTTGGCAGCAGCAAGACCAAAGGAAGCAGCCCTGCAGTTATTCTTCCTTCACCACGTGAGGTCACTTTAGTTCCATTCCAAAACAAGAGCTCTTCCACGTGCACAGGCCATGTGTTCTTGTTTTTTCTCTAGCCATTAAAACGATGCCACTTGGATGATGACATCCGCAACATAATGCCCCTTGTTCACTCTTTTTGGCTCACGTGAAACCAAGTCTTGTTTAAACCCTTTTTCAGCCGCAATTGAAAAGGGGAGGAGAGAGGAGAACCCCTTGCGATTATTTCACAGAGCAAAGCACCCAAAAACAAGAAAAACCTCATGGGAAGAGCGGACAGAAAATATTAGAGGAAATTATTTTGAAAAATTTAGGATCACATTGTTAAGACTTTTATTTTTAGTTTTAGGTTTTACAGGGAAGAAAATATTTTAAAGATTAAAAATTAAAGATTGAGGATTAAAGAGTTAAATTTTGAATTTGTGACACTTTCATATGAGTGTTTTTTTTTTTTTTTTTAATTTCTTTATCTCTGTATTTTTGTAAATTAAGATGTTAGAACTCGTGATTTATTTTATTTTTATTTTTATGTTCTAATTTTCTTTTGCTAGGGCTATGAGATTACCAATTCTATTTTAATTTAATTCATTTATTTTTACTTTCAATGAATTAATTCACTAAGAGTTTATTGTTCATGGTTGTTTTTTCTTTCTCTAGTTAATGCTTTCAATTATCTGGCCAATATTTGAATTGTTTTGGAGACCTAAATTGAAACCCCAGAAGGAGATTTTTAGGAATAACTTATTGTGAGAGAAATCGTAAAGTGCATGCGACATCTAGCAATAGTAACATGACTTGCGTGAACAATTAAGAGAACCATAAAGTGTAATGAATTTCTAGGGTGGTGGAATTCGCATCGAGAGATAGTGAGTTTACATGCTATGAATGTATTTGATAGCATCCCCGTAAGGACTATTAAATAATTTAGGGTTACTCGTTCTAACACATGAATTGTTAGTAAGAATAATAAATTAAAGAAGATTAGATGTGGTGAAATCAGCTGCCCTAGTCTTTAATTTGTTTGAGCCTTTTGTTTATTTTAGTTTTATTTATTTGAGTTTTTATTTGTGTTTTGCTCTTACTATTTTTCTATTTTATTTTAGGATGTTCAAATAATTTTAGAGTTAACTAATTTTGGTACTTAATTAAAATTAATGCAATTCTCGTGGGAATGATACTTTATTCACTACTTTATTACTTGTATGCGATATTGTGCACTTGCAATTTTCACATCACCTACCTTCCAACAGCTTAAGCTTTTTGGATGGATTGGTAAACTAACATGGCAAATACACACACACATAGCATAACTAATTATTGTTGGTCCACTTCCTAACAGCTTAGACTTTTGGAATGGATTGGTAAACTAACCTATATATATGTGTGTGTGTTTTTTTAGTATGACAATACTCTATATATAGTTCGGCACCCAATCTAGTATATCATCCGATATTTGGGTTTGATTTGTTGGCTTTTTAACAATTAGCATACAAATTAGTTATGCTATGGTTTACATTTTGAAACTGTAAAAATTATTTAAAAAAAAATAATGTTGACAAAAGTAACATTAATGCTTAGTACTAAAAAAATAATAAAAAAACATATTCTAAAATGGTACTTTTAAAAATATAATATTGTAAATATGGTATTTAACATGGCGTTTGTCAATTAGAAATTCGGAATATAAAATGAGTGGTTGTTACAAATATATATCCCTTCGTTCTTTTTCTCTCTCTTTTTTTTCCTTTTTTTTTCTTTTTAATTTTTCGCAGTAAACTTAGCATTAACATTAGCATTATGGTTTATCATATTTCAATAGCCAATTATCAAACACTACATTCACCTTGTAAAAGAATATAATGAGAATCCCACGTGTTATATAATTGTAATTTTTGTTTTCATGATATGTACGCGGGCTTTCTTCCTCAATACTAATTTGTTTAATATGCTAATTTAACTAGATGAAGAACTTGATCAAGAGTACTTTATCAGATTTCTTTTGCCTATGTTTCATACAAGATGAAACACGTGTGTATGTGTATATATATGGGTGTGTATGTATATATGGATGAGTTTTCAATAGTTACGTTTCCATCAGTGATTATCACTAAATATAAAAACTTGATGACGTAACGTGATAAGAATTCAATTCTATTAATTGTCATAAATTTTTTTAGTCAACTATATAATTCATTATAACCGTCGGATTAATATCTTACGGCTAAAATAATAATACTCATTAATTGGTAAAATTAGAATAACCATATCTTATATGCCACATAATAACGGGCCCTTTAAAAAAACAAACAAAATTAATGTACCTTTAAAATATTTCAACCGTTGAATTCAAATCTACCCCACTAAAATTAGAAATATATTTTAAATGTAGACATAATAATTAACAATAAACTCTCAAAAAGGACAATTTAACAACAATAATTTCTTATAGACATAACTTTAATCAAGCTCCTAAAAAAAGACAATCTTCAAGAGAGAACTCTTCGATCTACATGCTAAGGGTGGTTTTTGATCTTTTTCTTCTGGGTCATTTTAGAATAGAGGCCCCTATTGATATGTAGTATGTGTTTTAATTTTAACGTTAGATTTTATTAAGATCACATCAAAATAAAAATATAGATAATGATATAAATCGAACGGTTTTAAAATAGAGTTCTACTATACTTTTTCTTTTATATTATATGGTTGAATTTTCCCTTCTCTCTCTTCTTTTTGGCTAAAACTTGAATGATAGAATCGCTTCATGAATGATTGGCTCATGGCTCAACTTCGTCCAATTTAATTTATATGTTGTAAATTTTGGGAGCTTGTTGTTTAGGTCTCTGGATTATTTTTTTTCCCCTCTCAATTAAGTTTTGTTGTTGTTAAGAAAAAGAACAATAATAGAATTAAGGAAGCTATGAAAACAGAAATTTAATAAATGAGAATCAATGACTTCTAGTTGTAAATTATTATTTTCACTGTTACAATTTTAAACCATGCTTAAATTTACTGTCTTAATAGCAATTTTCGGTGCCCAATCTATGGAAATTTTAAGGACTCGTAAATTTTTATAACATTTCAATGTTAGTGTACAAATTTTTTTTTTTTTTTTTAAATTTTGTAACGCTAGTGTATAACTTTATGAGCACATGCATGATTGGAGAGATGCTGCGAGTGTAAAAACAAATAATTAAAAAAATTATATATATCAACATGACTAAGTACATCAGGGTACTTATTATAAGCATACACTTGACGCAAGGAATTCTTGATATCATGGAGTTAGTTTAGATATGCATCAAGGCAATTTTATGCACCAAACTTCTTTAATAATGTCCATATATAGTATTCATCTAAATTAAGGGAAGACCCTTCATATATAAGGCTGAAGTTCGTTTGAGTTTTGCTGAAAGAATGAGAATAATAACAGATCAACTCTCCAATATCTCACCGAACTTATGGTCAGTGAACTGCTCTGATACCACTTGTTAGATCTGGGTTAATTACGTTCAGTTGTTCGAGTAAAATAAAGTGCAGAAAGTAAAGGAACACACAATATGATATCGCAATTCGGTGCGCACACCTACTCTGCGGCACACCCAGACAGTAAACAGTTTCACTATGATTTAAGAATTACAACCTTAACGGACTTATTCACTCAAGGACTCCCTCCTAAACTATGACGCCGCTGTGATGAACTCTCACAATGACACTGTTTAGCATGTACCACACGTCTTCACCTTTAACTGCGAAATTCCTTCAGTTATTCATACTTTCAATGAGAAAAAAAACATAAACTACATATTGTTCTCCTTAAGCACTGATTCTCTATCACAAGACTTTTTCTTGTAGTCAACCGACCTTTTCCTGCAGAGCCACTTCCCATATAAACTCATTCCATGTATCTCCTTTTTCAACTTTTGAACCTATATTCAGTTACCAAAAAATCCTCCTCAGCTTTATCTGTAACATCTAATATTCTCTTAGCCATCTCCACGTCAATGCCTTATCTTTCATTATAGCAAGTTATCTTTGACTTTTATTTGACCAAGTCAAATTTCAAGTTCCAATTCTCATGTGCAGCTCAAGCTTAATTGTGTAGCTCACGTGAATACATACATATATATATATATATATATATATATATATATATATAAGCCATTCAATTCTCCTAACAATAAT